AAAAAAAAAAAAAAAAAGGGGGGGGGGGGGCGCAGAGGAGGGAGGGCCAAAAACCAGAGCTTTGAGTAAAAATGGTGCTGGAAAATATTCTCTATTTAGTATGGAAGACAGGATGCTCCACATCACAGCACTCCAAATCATTCCTTGTGCACGTGTCAATAGTTGTTGCAGAACCAGTGTTTTCCTAATGTGAATGCAATATCATGTACCATGAAAATGTCAAAAAGCCGTGTTTCATTGGATGCAGCCTTTTAGATAATTGATGCTATCAGTTCAATCATTAGGGATTTGAAGTTGTGTGATTTGAGTTCAAGTAGTTAAACCGAGTTCAGGCATGGGAATATGTTAGTTCTATCCCACTGCCTTCGCAAGTTTTAGAAATATTATCACGGGCTTTTTGGCTCAATTTAAATGCTGAAGAAAATCTATGAAGAATTTTAATAAGCCTTTTTTTGAGGTTCCGTAAAAGAAGTTAGGTAGAGGGAATTGTCCCGTTTTTAAGCTGAAAGAGCATGTATTTAGGATTTGTATGTTGGATCAACCTAAACACAATATATCAAGGTCGTGCACCTTTCCAGTTCTCAGCTTTGATGCTGTGCAGGTTAACCAGTGGTAATCACAGAGCTTTCGGAGTTAACTCTTTATCAGCTAAAGTCAATCTATGGGTATTCTACCCTGTTACTTGCTATGTGTGGGCTGGCCCTGTTTTGCTGAAGAATGAGCCATTGTATACAAACCTTTTCCTTTTAAATATGAAAAGGCTTATAAGAGTTGCTTAACACAGCATGTTTTCAGAGAGAGAGTGGTCCTTAAATTTTCTGATAATCCAGAATGATTGTGCTGCTGAAAGCTTCTGTGATTTCTGTAGAGGTTTCCAACAAGTAGGTTGGTGGGTTGTCATATCCTTATCTCAGACATGAGCCTCATATATGTAAGTAGTAATATGAGCTGCATAATGAAGGGGGTTTGTACAATGACCTATGGAGATGAAAGTAAAGGAAATTAGGGAAAAATAAATTGGCTACCCTTAACTTCATTAAAAATTGTAAGAGCATAACTGATTGATCCTTTTAAGAAAAGTCTGTACAATTTACCAAGACATTAGTTCCTGTCAAACTTGACTTCCTGATTGATAAATTGTTCATTTCTTACTGCTGGAGTTCTTGCTGCTGTTAAGAGGAGACAGATTGGTAATGGGATATGAGCAATCTTCTGGGCCAGTCAGATTTTCTGGCTTCTGAGGCCTAATTAGATCTTAGGCCAGGCTTCTGAGTAATTCAGAGTCCTGGTAGTGGCTCCTCCGGAACATTATCTGAAATAGAATTGTTGTCTTCAGCCAAACCATTGGATGAGATGGATCCGTACCGCAAAAGCCACTGCTACAGCTGACACTAACTGACAGGGAGGCTGCGGTGAGCTGAAGCTGGCTGATGTTGTGAAATGTGGAGATGCTAAATAATTGCATCTCCTACCAGACTTCCAGATCAAGGTAGGCACCTTGCTAGAGCAGAGTGGGAGAGCGACTGCAGTTGCTGACAAGCTGCTGTAAGTGCAACGTCAGTCAGTCACCTGGCTTCTTTGGTAAGGGTTCACTTGTCTGAATATTTTGAAAGCCAGTGTACTCCAGGGTGCCTATCGCTGCTACTGGGAATTATCCGCTTGCAGGCGAATAAGGGGCACAGTCATCTTTAAGGAGAACCATTGGCCAGTTACTGAATATTCCCCTCTCCATATAAGCAAACACATAGTGATATGTCTCACCTCTAGCAATAGTCTGTAAGCAACAGAACATGCTATTTTGAAACATGTTGACATGGATGACTACAGTAGTAATAGAAGAATGTTTTGTGTTTGCTTTTATTTTTTCCTTTCACTGTATCTAGGCTTTGACTGGATCTTTGTACTCAGGTAGTTTTTGAAATACTGGGAATTTTAGATTAGACTATGAAGGTACATGCAGAATTTGTTTTAAGCTAGCCAAAAAGTAAAACACAGAAGGTAATTTTCAGCATTTAAAAGGAAGTAGCCCTCAATAAGTGTTCTCTCCTTTTTTAATTTATGATAATCACTTAAAATCAATGTATTTTAGTATAGCTGCTGTCCTACTAATTTACTGGCTGTAAATATTCTCATTTGTCTGATTGTCTCTGGCCCCCTGATTTCTACCACACCCCCCCTAAAAAAAGTTTCTAAAAGCTGAAGACCTCTATATCCAAAATT